GAAATTTTGAAAAAACTAGTTGTTTATAGCCGTTGACGGTCCAATTTAATATTAAATTCATCTTTAAATTTTACAATTGTTTCAATTTGATCCCTATGCGTTGTTTAATTTATTTAAATTTCACTTTGTATATTTTTTTTCAATTTAGTCCTTAAAAAGTATATTTTATCCAAAATTGACATTTAACTATTTCTATTTTTTTAATTTACTTCAAACCTTATAAAACCACATCATAAACTTCATTTGAAACCATATAAATTATATCATAATCTCCAAATCTTATACATTTTTTCGCCAACTTTTAAAATAAATGCAATTTAGTCTAATTTGATATTAACTTTAGATTTATATTTTACAATTATTTCAGTTTGACCCCTACATGTTGTTTAATTTATTTAAATTTCACTTTATAATTTCATGTTTTTTTCAATTTATTCCTTAAAGTTATATTTTTATTTGAAAAGAGGTCATAATTATTTCTATTCTTTTTATTTTGCTCCAAACCTATAAATCACAACATAAAATTAATTTCAAATCATAGAAATTATATCATAGTCACCAACTTTTTAAATGAATTCAATTTAGTCCAATTTGATATTAATTTTAGTTTTACATTTTACAATTATTTCAATTTAATCCTTGCATTTTGTTTAATTTATTTAAATTTCACTTTGTAATTTTATGTTTGTTCAATTTAGTCCTTAACATTATTTTTTATATGAATTTGACCATAAATATTTCTATTTTATTTTAATTTTACTACAAATTCTATACAATTTCAAATTACAATTTGACATTTATGAAAGTCAAAAAATAATTCACCCGAAAATGACTCGACCTGAAGTATATCCGTATCGATAAGATATGACCTGAATTTTATCCGCCAATGACGTGACCTAATCTTAACGAGATATGGCATGAATTAACATGATATTGAACTGATTCAAACTCGAACTGTTTTGATCTTAACTGATATTGATCCGAACTAAAATTAACTCGACCCAAACCTAAACTGAATCTGATTTCAAATCAACCTGGAAATGACTCGAACTTGAGTCGACTCAGATTCGACCTGATCTGATTCAAACTATTAAATTGACCTGACATAACCTATATCTAATTTAACCTGACTTGACATAATCCGACCTAAATTTTGAACGGTTACCTGATTCCAATTCCCTATATAGATATACCTACTTAATTGTAGCAATAATAAAAAATGAAAATGTGAATAGTGATGTTGGATTATGGGCATACCGCCTTCATTGTATATGGAAGTTTAAAATTTTAAAAATGGATAGCGAAGATGGAGCTCAATTCAAATCAACAAAAAAAAAAAGCTCCCCATGCCTTTGCCATGCTGCAATGTGCAACAATTTGAAAATTATGTGAATAGTACAAGGCGTCTCAATCCCCCCCCCCCCCCAAAAAAAAAAAATAAATAGTGAAGACGCTGTGTAAGTATGGCGTCTAAAGTTTTTTAATTAAAAAATATTGAATAGTGAAGACGTCATGTGAGTATGGCGTCCAAATTTTTTTAATTCAAATTAATTCGTAAACAGTGAAGATGCCATGTAGTCCTGCCATCATCAATTTTTTAATTCAAAAATAATATTTTAAACAGTGAAGACACCATGTTTTCAATCCGTCGTTAAATTCACTGTAGCTTTTGCTATATTTTGGAAAATAAAAACGACAATGTAATCTTTTGGCAAAATAAAAAGAAATGCAATATTGGTATAAATTACCCCTCATAGAGGTGACGACAAAGAAATATCATGACTTTAGTCTTATTTTGAGCATATTTTTTATTCCCTTTTTTAATAGTGTCACCTAGACCATTTGCATCTAGGTGTATTTCGATATCTAAAATTTGGGACAAATAGTTCTTTCCGAAAATGTCTATTGCCAAGAATTCTAGTTTTCAAAGATTTATAATTGATAAACTATCATATAACAAATAAAATAATAAAAATAAATAAGAAAATATTATTAATAACTATATATCTATGTAAACTTAAATACGATAGAAAACTAATAACGTAACAATAGATAAATTGATAAAAAATCATAATAAATATTCAGCAATTTGAATATTAAAGAAAGCAAGTTAAATGACATAAATCGTTTAAACTTTATTTATTATTTAAAGCTACTCAATGGCATAAACTTGATAAAAAAATTATTGATTTTAATAAAACGATCAAATCTATTTAAATTTAGCATTAAATGATAAGAACTTTTAAAAATGACTCTTGCAACTTTTATTTAAGGATTGAAACTTTTAGTTTAGAAGCAAAAATGTCACAGTTTTTTCATTCAATCATATGAAATTTTAAGAAAAATAAAAATCAATTAAAGAAGGATAATTTACTAAAGATTAAATAAAGATGATACTTGATATTTAATAAAAAAATTGAACAAATTCGTGTTGACAACGTGTTATGAAATTATACCCAGATATAGAACACAATGTAAGAATGGATAATAATCTTTTATTGTATATATATATATATATCATAAGCCCGTACAACCTTTTTATATATATCAAAAGTATATTTTACAAGAAACTAATTAAAGGCTAATGCTATTATACCTTAGTAATGTAAGTTAAGAAATATTAAATCCACTTCAATAAATATCATTCATAACAGTAAAATATTTATATAAATTTTTAGAGTTTAAATATTAATATTACAAATAAAATAAAATAAATTTAGAAAAGATTTTATAATTTACTATTATAATATTTATCTTAATGAATCAAATATTGGAAGGTCTGAAAAAAAATTAATTTATTTAATTGTTGTCAAACTAACATGGTATATCATTAACTAACTACTAATACTAAGTTAATTAAAATTTTAATATTCATAAAATTGTGAAAAATTATATTTTTCTATCATTCTAGATGAACCTTTTCTTTTCACATTTGATTGGTTGATTTATAAATCATTCAAACAATAATTTATTACACAAAGCAAAAGTGATTACATAAACTATAATGATAATACATGATTATCAACATTTGAGTGCTTCATTTTACGTCTCTTAAAAGTTCATTTCCAGAACCAGGACGCCAACCCCAACCTAGCCTTAACCAAAAAGCTAATCACTCTTCGTCAATCCATCATCTCCATCGTTTTTGTCGTCATCGTCATCCTCCTCGTACTCTTCCTCAGCTTGCTCTTCTCTGATAGTCTCTAGTTTTGGAATACTGGAAGGCCTTGACGGGAAACCAATGAGAAATGGAGGGGCAGCCTCGATCCAAGGCTTCATCATGTACCTCAACTCCCTACCCATCGTTGACCAATCCAAATATTCAAAACCCAAAAAGGAAATTTGGGAGATTGGAAGTCGAGATTCCCTCTATTCTCTTCCTCCGATGGCAATCAACCGAGAAAGAGAGATGGAGCTACCTAGCTAAGGCTTGACAACGCTACTCACAATGGCAAATGCAGATTTTGGTTTTGCGCAAATGACTTGTTGAAAATGTTTGTGTTTATATACAGAAAAAACATTTCGGAGATGATAACGAAACTGTTTAATGGTCGGCAAGTAGCTAACCCACGTGGACGATGCTAAAGTGGGGTGACAACCTAAGTTTTGACGGAAAAAGGAAAGGAACGAGATATTTATTTTTCTTCAAATTTGTTGGGAAAAGTCTATTATTAGAAGCATAATTGTTCAACAAGATCCTCAAAATCTAAAGACCAATCTAATACAAGCAACGAAGATATTCAATGTTGGAGTTATGGGAATATAAATGGCACCTCCAACAGAATCTGCGCCAGAGAAATATCAAACCTAAAATGATGGTACAATAGGGTGAAAAGGTGCAACAAAACAAGAAGCCATAGCCCCGCAACAGGTGGCAGAATCAAAACTCTAAATAGGTAAAAGACACATCCCATCCCTTTCCTCTAAAAGTGAACTTTGTCTTTTGACATTTAAAGCATTGACAATTAGATGCTACCTACAGAATGGGGAAGGGGAAGGGGAAGGGGGAAGACTGAATAAGCCGACACGTAATCAGCTAAAAATCCATCAAAATATACACACTTTACAATGTTAAGAACAAACTTCTCACCGTTACATGAGAGTTTAAGGCCCAAACACCTTTTGCACGGTGCCCAATTGTCATTCAAAAACAACTGAATAAATATTAAACTTCTAACCAGGGACGGATCGGATCTAGTATCAAATGTTTCGAGGGACAAATTGACTTGGCACAAAACAATAGGGCCTCATTAAGTATCGAATATAAAAAATGGTGGGGGAAAAGTCTAATTTAACTTAAATTTAAACCGATAGCCATAGGACCTAAAATGCCATTAGAACAAAAAAAAAGTATGTGCCTCCGTCTCTGTTCACCATAGATTCTGGATGCAACATGAACAAAGAAAACACCATTTTGCACATGAAAATTTAAAGAAATATCAATGCCTAACAATGAAGCGAAGTTTTCACCAAACAAATAAAACAAGGGCCAGACAAATCGAGTGCATATTCCCGCGCACAAAAGCAGAAAAGAATAGGCTAGTCCAGAACTTTTATAAAGAAACCGAGACTTTATGCTAGACCGGGAAAAGAATGCAATTCAGAGACACCATTGTCACAACATACTTGTTCTATTTCTACAATCAAACCTAGCCAACAGAATCCAATAATTGACCATTCATCAAGAAACCAATATCTGTTAGCCACAACATCCGAAAACAACGACTTAAGACATCTCAATATTAAAAAAGAGAGTTAGAAAATATGGCACATTGATAACGTGAAGACTAATGTGATTGATTTCCTTCAACATTCAACAACCAATACTCAACAATTATGGGACATTTCCCAAACAAAAATACTACCAAAACTTGCATTTTCGATTCATTTCTTAATTATCGAGTTGAAACACTATCAAAGCACAGTTTTTTTTCACTCTTATTTACCAAGCACAATACTAGCATTTTTAAAAGACAATATAAGCAAAGGGAACAAAAATAAAAAATAAAATCATGTATCGATGATACTCGATATCATCTAAATAAAACTTCAAAATATTCGCGAGTAGTTCAAAATCTTAAAATATAACATTTTTTTAAGAAAAGACGAACACGAGAATAGTCGTAAATCATAAAAACGAAAGAACGAACTTTTTCACTCCAAAGGAACATCAACATCTCCATCATCGATCTCCTGCTGCAAATCCTTTGGGTCTTTCCCATCAACCGTACACCCAACGGAAACGCAGGTGCCCAGAATCTCCTTCACTGTCCCCCTCAAATCCTTAGCCATAGACCTCGGTCTCATTACCTTCGCAATTTCGACCACGTCATCCAGGCTGATGTTCCCGTTATGCTTGATGTTCTTGGTCTTCTTCCTATCTCTCTCCGGCTCCTTCAAGGCCTTGATTACAAGAGCCGCCGCTGACGGAACTACTGTTACTTTAGCCTGACGGTTCTGGACGGTGAGCTTGACAGTTACGCGGAGACCCTTCCAGTCCTTGGCGGTTTCTTTGGCGATGTCTTCACCGATCTTTTTGGGAGAGAGACCGAGTGGACCGATCTTTGGAGCGAGAGAACTGGCTGCTCCAACCTCGCCACCGGTGACGCGGACGAAGACGTCGACGACTTGGGTTGGGTCGAACTTAGGCGGCATTGTTGGGCTTGTTCTTTGATGTATGGGAAAAGGTTGGCTAGGGTTTTCAGAGATGGAAGCGTGAAACTTGGGATAATATAGCTAGGGTTTTCCTGTTCAATGACCAATTTAACCTTCATACAAATCATGAACCTGAGAAATGGCAACAAATGGGGCTGGTTTATAGTTGAGTTATTGATATTATTATTGTTATAATATATCAGAAGATTTAAATGTTAATATATATATATATATATATTAAATTGTATGTAAAAGTTTTTTGAGTAATATATTGTATGAAAAAGGATTTGGTTGATTAGTGCATAAATCAGGTTGTCTCAGGCCAACTAATGGTTGTAATTCATGATTTTGAGTTTGTAAGGTTAAGTTCGAATCCTACCACCGTCACTCTAGATGTGTAATCTGTAAATTTCTATGTAAATCCCAATTGAGTCTTAGGTATATCATGACCCTGGACTGGGGGAGCCACCCTTTACCTAAACTTTATAGTATAAAAAAATCAAGTTATCTCAATGGTTAAAAGAACGATTATTATCTCCAGAGCTCTCGGGTTCGAGCACCAACTAATGTAGAGTATTTAAATATTTATTGTCAAATGATTGTGAGTCTCTATAACATATATTATTAAATTAAATTAATAATCCAAAATTTAAATCTTAAAGTTGATTAGATGATAATATTTATTAAGAATTTTCTTAACCAATCGACAACATAAACTTATATGCTCAAATTTTCATAAATCGCCACTGTTTCTTATTACTTTTATTTCTTATAGGACCCATCTTATATTTTGACCAATTGAATAAGATATTACATATTTGTTTGTTTAGGTGGTTTTTCTTGTGAAGGGACGCTATTTGGTTTGCATCAGTTGCAAAGAAGAACCCTTTGAATCATTAAAAGGACAGAACTTATTTACGGTCAGGTATCTCGTCTCCCTTGCAAATCTCTACTGGATAGATGAATTTGGTTGCTACTGCCTGTTCAAGCCTTGCAAATTTCCCTTGATCATTTTATTCGGCCACTATATACATTTTTTGCTTATGAAGTCACCCAAAAGTACTTCTCTTACTGACCCTTTTCTTGGTTATGAAATGGTGGCAGCTGATACTTATCTTAACAAAGTCAATAAATAGGTGCTTTGAGAAGAATCCTAAGTTTGATATGACACCTTTGCTTGGAGGAACAGATGTCGTCTTTTCTTCCCTCTTCCACTTGTTCAGTTGGTGCGTTTTATTGGGTTTTTCCTTGCATGTCCCAATAGTGCTGGTTTTGTTCTCACTTCATCCTGCTCTTGTTTTCCATTCCCTCATTCACTCTATCAGTCGAGGAGTTCTCTTGCATGTCTAATGATGTTGGATCTCTCTTCTACTCACACTCCCCTGTAACTCCCTGTTTCTGCTTTCTTGTTTGTGGTTGAAAATAAAACTGCCGAGTTTTTTTTTACTTATTTGCAGTAAATTGTGAGATTTTTTATTTTTGGTTATTCAGCAGTTTGTCACATTTATCCCTGTTTGAAAATATTGGTTCTACATTCAGAAAAATGATAACATGCGTTTGTTTGTTTGTTTGTTTTTTTAAACATTTTTGTTACTTCTATTGATGAGATGGGAATTACAACACTATATTCATCCTCTTTCATATTCTACCTGAAGGGTACCTCCTAAATATTTTCTCTCTTCTTTCAGGAACCCAGCTACATTTCTTCATGCATACACTTATCTTCCACTTGCTTATGCAACAAGGCAAGCTGCAGGCGCTATATTGCAAGATGTTGCTGATTCTGGTGTTTTATTTGCAATATTAATGTGTAAACACAAGGTGAAACTTCCTCCCCTTTTCACTCGTTTTCTCTGAAAGTACAAAAAAATGTTTTTGTCATTGCTACTCTGGTTTAATACCATAAAATAATAATTTTCCTGTTCGGAGTATTTTAATAACCTGAAGGTCAATGTCAGGTTATCAGTCTTTTTGGTGCACAGAAAGCCTCCCTTTATCCTGACGATATGTTGCTACTTTCAAACTTTGTGCTATCGTCAGAGTCATTTAGGTAAGTAGAATAAATATTAGTAGGTCTTTAATCCCTGTATATTTGGTCAACTCTAGACTCTAGAGCATCGGAATGTATATGCCTTGAAGCACATGGGACATCATTGTTCTGTTACAATACCTTCCCTTAGTAATCGTTACTAGGGTAGTTGGAAGAAGTAATGGCATTTGCTTGAATGGTCAATTGGTTTATACAGATTTCTAGCTAAATATTGTTTTGTTTGGCATATGAACTACCCCATTCCCTTTGTACCGTTTCTTGGAATCCCTAAAATACTGATTGAAGTTCCAGTTCAGAAACTTGTTACATCCTATAAGTGATCAATATGTTTACGTGTTCTTTTGTTGTTTCGCGACCATGTTAAAGGTTCTTAACAGCTCAATATTACACAACTGATAGGTAGAAATGAATATATCGATAATTCTGTGCTAACTGAGTGATAATTCTTTGAGCAGTTCTCTCGGAGACACTTCACTTCTTTTATTCTCGTTTTTCTCCTCTTCTATTATGATGTTTCGGAGTTAGATTTGTATTTATGCTGTTTATTTAATGGTTTATGCAGGACATCAGAATCGTTCTTGCCAATTTGTTTACCAAGATATAATCCTATGGCATTTTTGTATGCTTATGTGCATTTTCTTGATGTGAGTGAAACCTGTTTCAGAATATATTAACTTTATGCATCGTTAATGACATACAGTGATGTCATATTTTTGCTCTATATTGATCATGCCTATAGCAGCGAGTGATAAATCTTATTTCTTGTGACAGGACAATACATACTTGATATTGTTTACTACCAGTTCAGATGCCTTCTATCACCTTAAAGAATGCAGGTAAGCTATTGTTTCCTAATTTGATCCTTATGATATAGTGGACTTCTGGTATGAAATTCCTAATGTCTACATCAATTAACTGCGCACATTTTAGGCTTAACCATATCCATCATACAAATCAGAAATGCGGCCATATTAAGTAAAAATACCCATGCCTTACCTTGGAAGTAGATATTATCTCTGTATTTAAAAATATTAATGTTCATTTTCTTCTGTTCTAGACCATTGAGAAGTTTGACTGAAATTTTATAGGATTCACATAGAAGTGGTTCTTTTGAAGTCCAACGTTCTTAGTGAAGTTCAAAGGTCAATGATAGATGGTGGAATGCATGTTGTGGATTTGCTTCCAGTTGATTCATTGCTTCGATCTGGATCATCTCCTCATCCGGGAAAGCAAAGACTTACATCAGATTCTCCTGAGAGGCCTAGGGAACGATTTGTTGGCATAGGTGGTCCTGCTGGACTTTGGCATTTCATTTATCGTAGTATATACCTGGATCAATATGTGTCCTCTGAGTTCTGATCACCACCACTTAACAGTCTCAGGCAACAGAAAAGGTAAAACTCTGAATCTTGTATTAATTCAATTGAAACTTCTTTCATGCTGAGTGCATGTCATATATTTCTTTGCCGTGGTTATTATAATAACTGGTTCTTTCGTGCAGATTATATAGAGCTTATCAAAGACTGTATGCTTCCATGCACGATAAAGGAATTGGGCCACATAAAACTCAGTTTAGAAGAGATGAAAACTATGGTAACTTTCTCTTCCTCTCTCTAATATTAACGTTAACTATTTAATTATTTAGTGAAAAGTTAACATTTTTGTTTTCATTTTGCTGTCTGGATGTCTTTTTTTGCAGTTGATACTGTTGCGTTCTTAATGTTCTGTTTGTGGACAACAGTTGCTCATGAGTTATGATCAAAAGGTTTTTGTTTTATAGCCTTAATAGAAATAATATGATAACATTTTTTCTGTCAGTTTTACTCTGCTGGGTCACACAAGATTTTGAATTCTATGCAGCATTCGATCCGCTTGCAGACAAGGTTTGTTTCGGCATATATATATATATCGTAATCATTTGTTGTGTTCAGAGTTCAACTCGTCTTAAATACACACCGAGTACTTTCTGTAAAGAACTTTAAAGCTTCATTTATATTACGTCCACGCTATAGCCATAAAGACTTGCAGCCGGGTGTGTCAATGGGTAAAAGATGTGGAAAATGAGATCTTTTTGCAGGGAGCAATCCCCTTTTCATGGTGACAAGTTAACCATGTAAAACAAAATGTATTGTAGTTTTGGTTGTTTGCACACTCATAGCAACTTCTTCGTGACCAACACTTTTTTGCCTCCTATGTTCATGATATCTATCGTTAGCTACCAAATGTATGATTCGCCTTTAAAGGTTCTTTTTTTGTTAGGAAGATGCTGAACTATGAGTACTCCGTTTTGTTTGAACTGAGGAGTATTTTGTATTAGTATGGTATGGATGACAAATAAAGGTGACAAAAGTAGTTTTTTTCATGCCCATTGTTGTAGGATTACTTTGTTCTTTTGTTTCTTTGTCATGTTTGAGCCATTTTTTATTTTCTATACCTTTCTGTAATTTTTTCTCTGCATTTTTCCCATGGAAATCATCTAGAGAGTGCCATCTGAAGTGATGTAAATTTAAGAATGCTTCAACTGATATCCTCAGCATCGCAGTTATTGCTTCATTATTGTTGATGCGAGCTTGTGAGAATATGAACCGAATGCACGGGTTTTGATGAGGCGTGTCTTCCAAGAATCCATCTTCTTACAGGGGTATGTAAAACTATCAATGGTTTTCCTGCTAGTTATCTATTTCTTAAGTGAGTTTGACTTGCAGTTTCGAATGTAGGGAGTAACTGCAATCAATTTCTGGAGTTGGTTTTACAGGCACTACGCCTTGTACCAGCAGGTAATAAAGAGAGCTGCAAAAGGTTCCTTCATGGAAGCAGTGAAGGAGCTAAAACCATAGACGTTTTTAATGGGGCAAATGAAGGTCGGTAAACAAAATGCCCACTTTCTGCTACGATTCAGTATTGCCGAATTATTTATTTAATATTTTATCTATTGACCTTGCCTTACGAAAAACGAGAATAAATTAATTCCATGCTTTGCATTGCATTTATTATAAGTTTGGTTTTGGCTTTGCTTCCCCGTT